TTAGCAAGGGGTAATTAGTAATTTGAAAAAAAATCTACGAAATTATGAAAGTCGGAGTTGATACTGCCTCGAAGAGAGCAGCCGCTGTCCCGTAACCAAGTTGTGGGAGACTAATTAATTATCTCATCCCAGCGGATGCGGTCAATAGCCCATTATTTATCGCCCACAGATGCAATAAAGCATCGGTTATAATATTGATTTGTCGCAGTCGTTCACTTTATTATTTATTGATTTATAATGGTATTTCTTAGACGTAATAATAGAATTTTTGCCTTATCCATTATGATAGTTTTGTTGCGCAGACACACACATGTCTTCTTTGTCCGTCCACTGATGGACGTAAACCTCTTTCATAGTGGAGACGATTTGCCTTAAAAGCAATGATTGGTGGAAGGATTGACGTTAGCAGTACCATACTACGTGGTACCTACTTAGTAAAGCCCTTACTGCAGCTATATTATGGTTGTAGTACGAATGGGTAGGCTCGATCGTGGTAGGGACGCGCTCTAAAATAATACCAGCGTAAAATAGCAGCTTAATGTTGCTGTGTTTCGTATGGTGAGTGAAGAGATCTGGAGGCACTTTTTTACTGGAAACGAGGCATTCCATCTTATTCCTCAAGGCATCCTCCCGCATCTGCGTTTTTGTTCTATATCGAGGATAAATGTATGTGTGATGCGCCACAGCATCCAATTACCATCAGGTGGACTGTGTGTTAATTTCTCACCCTTTTTCTATAAATTAAAAACTTTAGAGATCTGTCAGAAGCCATACAATTTATCAGGTATTTCAGGTATCTCGGCTCTTACGATAGCCATTGTTACTTACGCCGCACATCTATTACATACTCCATCCGTCTATCAATGTCATTCTTTCTTACAGCCCAATAAAAACGACTGCTGAACATAGGCCTCAGCAAATCTAACATAGGATTTTTGCTTCATCGGGGGCCGTAGCGGGTGGGTTGGCAAACGCAGTTTTTTATAATTTTATGTCATCTCCCAATTCAGTTTCACTACGCCACCTTTTTCAACACTCACGGGTGTGATGGTGGATGTGATGCTGAATATTCATACATCCCTACGCGGTTAGTTACACACTGTTACAAGATTTATTCTATTAAATAAATTATAAAAGATGTAACATAAACCTTAATGTGTTAGTTAAAGTTATGTGATATGTGGATAAATAATTACCTTATACGAATTTAGCAATTTTTGTTTTTGTTAAGTGTAAAATTATGTAAATGTAAAAACGATGAAGATCATTTAAATTTGTAATTCCAGATTGATTTAATAATTTATATACTTTAATGACTAATACTATTTTTACCAAAATAACTTAATTTATAATTGATGCTTAGGGCGTAGTAATTAGAATGTTTTTTTGTTGTAATATAGTATAGACAATTTTTTTAAATATTTATTATGAGATAATATTCCACTTAATCGAAAAATAGTTTCTGCAAACACTTGGAAGCAACTACATAGACGAAGATCACAAGTGTATTGTCGCACCCGAGGTCCCGAGGTCGAAGATGAAATGCCCCACGTCCCGCATTGGAATACCGCAGTGCGTGTACTGATGTTGGATGAAGAAATAGGTACGAAGATAACCAAGCGACGGGATCAAAGACTGGAAGAAAGTTCACCACAAAGAGTCCCTTAGTTTAGCGCATTTTCTTACAAAAATCTAGTGAATGTGGAATGTAGTAAAAACTACTTAGGTAAATGAACAATGAAAAATATCTTAAATTTTCTATCGGTTTAAAACTATTAAAGCGAGTGTTACTCAAAGCGATTAACATTTTGTCTGTCTCAAATGATCCTCACGTTACACTGAGTTACATTGAAACAATGTATGAAGTGCCCAGCAGTATAAGGTGATAAGCGGCACCTGGCTACTTTCCCACCGAGGAACGGATGTGCTACATCCGTCGCGTTATCTGAAAACCTATAATAAAATCCGACGAGCACACGCGATAGGGAAGTGGAATTTATTATATTTAATTTCTCAGTTTGTATCTTAAGACCGAACGTTCGAAAAAGCTTTTGAAGATACGAACTTTTGGGACGTCTTTTTTTTCGTCGCTACATTAAAAGTTATAATCTATATCAGTACTCAATTATAATTTGTCTTTAGTCGTCTGTAATTTCGCCCAAAGTTCCTCTCCAAACTCTCATTACCATCAATTGTACAGAGTTTGATATATACATAAAAGCTTCGATCAACAGTTGGTATTGTTGATCAAAGCGTAAAAGAAATGTTCCATGAATAGGGGAGAGTGGGGCTGTTGTTACATATTTTAGATAATTGTCAATATGACAAAGCTTATCACATAATTTCTACATTAGAATGTTTTAATCGATAAAATAACTATCCAGCTAATAAAAGTTTTCTCACAATAGGCAACATAATTTAAAAAAGTCGATTGCAAAAACTTGCTCCCGTTCGGGGCCTGTTGTTACACCTTGGGAGCACGTTTTTACGGTAGATAAATTAATAAAATCAACAATGATGAATCACAATTCATTCTTTATTTTTAAATGCTGTATATATACAAAACAGACATTTTACATAATCTTATATCAACCTGTAATGATAGTGTCTATATCTTCATTTTTAAACTATTTTAACCGTAACATCACATTACAATGGCTGTAAGTTTTTTTAATTCTTAGGAAAAACAACATTATTATTACTAAAATAAGAAATGAATTTCATCAGCTACAAGCAACTTTCAGTAGATAATGAATAACTTTTACTAATTTTAATCAATGTATGTAAAAAATAATCAAGGTGCCATCACTTTTATGAAACAAAATAAACATAATAAACTGGCTTTATTGTAATAATTTACGGATTAATATGGAAAAAACTAAAATGATCCAATTTCAGACATATCAGAGAAAACTATTGAATATTAATGTTAAATATAATGATAAGATCATCGAACAAGTAGCAAGTACTAAATTTCTGGGTATAATTTTGGATCAAAATTGCGACTGGAAGACACATGTCGATTACTGTACCAAGAAACTGACAAACGGGGAGAAGATAAAAAACCCAAAAAAAATGTAGCTCCTAGAAATAAACATAAATTATACTTACCTCAATGCAGGCTCAAATTGTACGAAAGGAACTACGTTAATGCTATAAAGGTGTATAATAAAATACCCAACGACTTTAAAGAGTTACCTTTAACCATGTTTAAAAAAAAGTTGATACAATGCTTAAAAGAAAAATGTTTTTACGACCTAAATGAATTTACGTCTTTTTGTGGAAAATAAATCCGAAGTCAGTAGTAATATTAGTAGTAATATAGATATATATATATAAAAAAAAAAAAATCTAATAATTAATTAATTAATTACAAACAAAATGAAAGTATGGACATTAACAATTAAGAACAATCATTAAACAATGTGACATTTTAATTGAATTCCCACTTGTTGTTAATTTTTTTTTTTGCATGTATACTTATAAAATATTTACACACCATATAAAGTGGCAGAATGTAAATGGGCCATTATACATAATTTAAGATCATTGTATACATACATTCTGGCAAATAAATGAACTTGAATTTGATCTTGAATTTGAAAAAAATCTTTGGATTCTAACAATAATAAGGCATGCACTTCTATTTAATTTATCAGAATAGGATAGGATAGATAAAATAGATAATCATTTTTTTAAACGTAGAAAATAATATCAAATACAAGTATTAAATCAATCTTCATCAGAATTGCAATTAACACAAATAAATGAGTAGACGTTTCCCATTACACATTCGACATGGACCCACATTTTACATTCTATACACTCTACCTAATCTTTTTTTAGAAGTACTGTAACTTTCGCTACACGCTAAGCAATACATGATAATGATAATCAGTATCAGAGTATGAATCTAAATCTGAATCCATTTTTTCTTTGCCTTATCTTTTCCTTTTTTACTCATTTTTGTCGCCTTTATCTTACCTTTTCCGTTAGCTTTACTTTTATCGCAGCTTTCATTTCTTGTCCAGTATTTCTTAAAACTGTTTTCCTAATGCTTTTTTCCGGTATACCGACGACTAACAATTCCGGATTTTCCAGGACCAGTATCAAATTGGAGACGTTCGGCAAGGATGTGGAAAGATCTCTTAGTTTTTCTTTTATAATTTATTATTCTGAAACAGAAACACTGTATATTCACATTTTGTAAATATGAAGTAACGTAACAGTATTAGTGAAAATACATAGTAAAAAGACGTACGCTTTGAAAATAGAATTCCGCCTTGGAATTCGTTTAGAAAATTGCTTTTTATCTCTTCCAGAGACTGATAAGCTCAGAGAAATCGTAATTACTATATTATATTTATTATATTGTATTAAAGCTAATAAGTTAATCAAGGCAAAATTATACGGGGCAAGTTGTTACATGTAACTATCTGCCCCATAGCATGACTTTTTAAATAAATTGACGTCACCATTGATGGATATCACTAGCAGTAAAAACATTTTTTTTAAATTAAAAGTAGATACGTTAACAAAGTCCAAGCCCTGAAAATTAGTGAAAATAAATTAAAATATGTGTCGAAAATCAAAAATTTCTTAAAGGATTCTTTTACTTACTTGGCTGAAATCGAAGCACTTACACACAATTTTACAGTAAACCATTGGGAGGGTTACTGGTCGTTATTGAATATTGCGCGATGTCATAAGGAACCCATTAAGTCCAATACTATGCACCAGAGAGTTCTAAAGGAACCCATTAAGTCCAATACTATGCAACAGAGAGTTCTAAAGGAACCCATTAAGTCCAATTCTATGCACCAGAGAGTTCTAAAGGAACCCATTAAGTCCAATACTATGCACCAGAGAGTTCTAAAGGAACCCATTAAGTCCAATTCTATGCACCAGAGAGTTCTAAAGGAACCCACTAAGTCCAATACTATGCACCAGAGAGTTCTAAAGGAACCCATAAGGCCAATACTATGCAACAGAGAGTTCTAATGGAACCCATTAAGTCCAATTCTATGCACCAGAGAGTTCTAAAGGAACCCACTAAGTCCAATACTATGCACCAGAGAGTTCTAAAGGAACCCATTAAGTCCAATTCTATGCACCAGAGAGTTCTAAAGGAACCCACTAAGTCCAATACTATGCACCAGAGAGTTCTAAAGGAACCCATTAACTCCAATACTATGCACCAGAGAGTTCTAAAGGAACCCATTAAGTCCAATACTATGCACCAGAGAATTCTAAAGGAACCCATTAAGTCCAATACTATGCACCAGAGAGTTCTAAAGGAACCCATTAAGTCCAATACTATGCACCAGAGAGTTCTAAAGGAACCCATTAAGTCCAATACTATGCACCAGAGAGTTCTAAAGGAACCCATTAAGTCCAATACTATGCACTAGAGAGTTCTAAAGGAACCCACTAAGTCCAAAACTATGCAACAGAGAGTTCTAAAGGAACCCATTAAGTCCAATACTATGCACCAGAGAGTTCTAAAGGAACCCATTAAGTCCAATACTATGCACCAGAGAGTTCTAAAGGAACCCACTAAGTCCAATACTATGCACCAGAGAGTTCTAAAGGAACCCATTAAGTCCAATACTATGCACCAGAGAGTTCTAAATTTCGGTGAAAATGCGTGAAACAAACACTAACCCTTTCACACCATGCCCCACTCTCTCACCTACGAATAGTACTTACTAGCTCCGGCAATTAATGAGTACCTGGATGACCGAGCTTTCCTCAGTATTTTTGTTTGGAAATCGTGTGTTTAAGAAATCATATTTAGATACAAATTACATACTGATGAAACATGAATAATATGTTTGATCTTATTGACATAATAGAAAAAACTGAACTGGTTATTTGAATAAAAAATCATGAGAGCAACTAGTTTAATTAAAATTTTCGTATTTTTAAAAAAAATAAAATAAAAAAGGGCTCGAAATAATAGATTTTCTCAGAAAAGAAGGGAACTTTAAAAAAAAGGAAAGACAAACCCCGGTTAAAAGTACCGTGAACCCAAAAAAAAGTTACAGCCTATATACGTCCCACCACTGGGCATAGGCGGCCTCTTATTTTTAAAAGAGTACCTATTAGGGCAAGGAAATGCCCACCGCACTGTCCTAATGCGTGTTTGACGGACTTCACATGTCTTCGAATTTTTTTTCAGGTTTCTTCACGATGTTTTACTTCACCACCCAGCATTTGGTGAATCAGCACTTAAAATTGTAATTAACAATTTTATTGGTGCCGAGGGGATCGAACCCGGATTGCTCGCGTACTGTGAAATTTACAGCGAGCTCTAACCATCTGAGTTACCACGGCTCTTTAAATATTCGTATTTAATCGTCGGTGAGATTAGTGTTCACTGATCATGTAACTTCTGAACGACTTGATAAATTGAGCTCATATTCACAAAATATATATGTTTTGTTCAGGTGAGATTACAAAATCTGTAGACACGTGATTAATATTTTTGTATTAAAACTTTAAAAACTCTGGACTGAAGTGACACTCATCGCGCCACTTACCGAGAAATTCAGAACAATAACTGCTAGCTAAGCGAGTTGTACTCGTAATCATTGAGGTATTACTACTACGTAGTAACATAGTTCGTAGTTAAGTAGTAGTAATATGTGATATACAAATACAAGCCTAAGAAGAAATCTGTTGAGCTGGCACATTCATTATACTTGTTTTATAATAGTATTGGATGTTGTACAATGTACATATGAAAATAATACAATAAGTCAGCTAGTATGTTTGTTTAAAAACAATGTTTAGTTTGTAACTTATAGATTTTTTGTTGAACTTGAGTATCGTTAATAATTATAGCTCATAACAGGTGTTTTATTGCTCAACTGTTTACATTTAATTGCTGGCCATTAAATACGTATATCATCTCGCAGCAGCGTGGGACCACCCGCAGAAGCTGTTTAATATAAATCAAATGAAGGTGGAATATTAAGATTATATTGGATGTTGGGTAGTTTTATAACGCACCGAATACATTGTCTATGGCTTTCGCTTTTTTACGTGGTAGAGCTATGGTGCAGCTATATTGTGGTTGCAGCACGAATGGTTCGACTCGACCGGGGTAGGACCACGCTCTCACAGAATACCGGCGTAAAATAGCAGCTTAATGGTGCTGTTTCGTATGGTGAGTGTAGAGAACCGAAGACTCTTTTTACTGGAAACGAGGCATTCCATCTCAGTCCTCAGGGCTGGCAACACATCTGCATTTTTTTTTTTAATTGAGGATAAATGTAGATGTCTATGGGCCACAGCATTCACTTAACATCAGGTGAACTGTGTGCACGTTTGTCACCCTTATACTATAAAAAAAATTACAATTTATGTTATACAATAGAAAATAATAATGGCAATGTTACTAATACCTCGTTAATTACTGCTCCAACTAGGTTAAAAATGCGACAGCAGTAGAATGGTAAATTCGAACCCACTACTCTTTAGTTTCCTAATTTTACGTTAGTTTAAACCTACCTTCGTATAGTTAATGACCCTACTAATTATTTAGACACTATAAAGATACTCAACAGACATAATTTCTCCTGCTTGCGAGACGACAACCAACACTATTGCAAGAAACTACTTCTTTACTTTTGAAAATTGAAAAACAGTAGACAGTAGACCGTAATTGCCAAGATACACATTATAACCAAATTCAAGGCACAGCTTACATACATCTTTCAGTATATATAGAGAAGAGGTGTAATGTAGTGTAATTTTCTATAAACAGAAGTTTTCTCTTGGTGAATTCGATGAGGTCTTTTTTAAGAAAAAATTAAGTGACAATCAAACTTTCAGCCCACCTATCGAGATACTATGTACTAGTAAAATTTAGTTCGACCCACCACCTGATGGCGTGACTACTGTAGCCCACGGAGACTTGCAACTAACTTCAGATAAATAAAGCTACAGTATGCGTTGTCACCTCTGAGGACTAATATGGAATGCCTCATTTCCTGTTTTCCATTATAATGGCTTTCCATTCCCTTCAGACCGGAACACCAACAGTGTACGCTCTGCTATTTGGCGGCAAAAGCCAAGCTGTTAATAGCTTTCCTCGATTTTCGAAAATCGGGAAAACCGCAATCGAACGGATTTGCCGATTGATGCCGGGCATTTACTAAATTAACATCTTGACTGCGATCAACAACAAACTTAAGTAGTGCTGGCGGGACAGAGGGTTACCGTTGAAGGGTAGATGATACTATAAAATTTAATGAGTACGTAGCGCAGTTTCTTAATTAAACTAACTTTTACTTAACTTATTTACTTTTTATTTAACTTAACTTATTGCTTTGTTGTAGCGAAATTAAAGAATCCGTCACCTTAATTTTGTCCAATGAGTATCGTAAGTGGTAACTATGGAAAATGCCAGAAATGTATTATCGCACTCAATAGATGGTGATTATTTCCCTCAGACCGAATTGTGGTCACGGCGGCCATTCTTCACGGAGACCTTATATATATATATATATATATATATATATATATATATAAGGTAGTATAGATAGCCTTTCCTTGTATATTTACTATACTCTTTGGACTAGCCCATGTAAAGGCCCACTTGTGCACATGGCCTCACCATGAAACGGCGCCAGGTCTGGTCTTCTCCCGTTAAATGACGCCTACAAAAATGGATGATTGAATTGAATAGAACGCGCAAAAGGCCGCTGCCTGTAGGTCATCAGGGCGCGTCTGGAGCTGGTGCTGAACGCGACAGCATGCAAACCGCTAGCCGAGCGCGAGGTGCTGCACGACCCCAAGCAGCCCCTCGCATCCATCATCCCCACCAGCTGGCTTGGTATCGGCAGGGTCTTCGCGGGCCCAGCAATTGATACTCTTTGGACTAGCCCATGTGTATGTGCAAGCACCACTCTATTCTCTCACTCTCATAGTCCGATAAGACGGTAAACCGACACGATCGGAGAGAGATCAGGCGCAGGACCAACGGCTTTACGTGCTATGATGGCAATACAACCATTTCGTTTAAGCCAGACGTAAAACACCTAGATCAGCGACGGCATAATAGTAGTACTTGCATTGATAGGTACCGGGCTGAAAACCTGAAGAGTATAGTTCGTCAATATAACTACAGGCTATAAGAAAAGTAAGGTACGATACGTGTATGAAGTTGGCTACGATGTACATAGACTGCAGTACCATCAGGTGGATTGAAAGATTGTTAAACACTTCAGTTTTATAAAATAAGGGGTAAATTATAAATTCGGATGATTTTTTAGAGTTATTTTAACACAAGCCTTTACTCGATAAAAACATCAAGTATGAAATAGCAGAGAATACAGGAATATTTATTTAAACGTAATGATACACATAAGGTAAAAACTTAATTTTGGAAAGTCGAATATATCAAGCAGATAAGTCCGGAAATGAAGCTACAAGAATAATTTATATTCCGTATTAAAACCCGTGAGAACGAAGCCTTACGAAAAAATAAGAAGTCGTTACCACTTCCACTTTTTTCGGCCTTGAAATCTTTCCAAAGTTCGTTAAAAACTTAACCTCGTATTAAATTACATAAAGCCAAATAAATGCTGTGGAGAAATCCGCTTTCGTTTGTTTTTAAATAATGCAACATACACATCATAATGCGATATATGAAGCTCATTTCTGAGCACGATTTTGTTATTTAAATGACATAATTTTCGATTGGATAGACTAATGTAAATGACCTTATAAAATGCTCGATTATAAGACCTCGACTCAAGACAAGTTTTTTTTTAATTAAAAAACTCTCTGATTTAATGTCTTTAAGTAAAATATTTAAGAATACCCAATTTAAAACCACTCTTTGCCCTGAAAAAAAAATTTTAGATACAGAATTAATATTCCAATAATATAGCAAAAATAATAAAGTTGAATAAATATATAATAATTTTTTGTGTCCCTATAGATATCCAATTTAATAAAATAACTTATAAGAATATGAAAACTAAGTAACTCAATTGTATGTTTGAGAGTTTGTAAAAAATAATGATTTAACATCTCAATAAAAATTTTATGTCGTCTCGCAATCGAAAAAATAAACTTTCATTTAGGTTTATATTGTATAATTTAAAATTATTCTTAACTTCCAAAGTGAGATGGATCCATCTTATGGTTGATTACCAAAAAGATTTGCAAAAGTGGGCATTTTATTAACTAAACACGTGGGCTATAAAAAGAATGGAGGGAGACCGTGGGAATAGCGCTCCCTCAGGAGATCTTACTGTACACACAAGTAGGGATATTGTTTCTTGAGCACATGCCAGGCTAACGCTAGAACTAACGTTGATCTATTTTTTTATTTTATTCGTGTGCAATCACTATAACTGGCGAACGAATCGGCAACAATTACAATATTTAATTATGT